AATTAATGAGCTGTGCATTTAACTCCAGAAGTTAAAAAGAACAACAGAATAAGTCCAAAGAAAGTGAAAAATTGAACAATGATAAGGAAAATAGCTAAATAAAAATAAAGACATAAAAGAAAGAATCAGAAAGCCAAAAAGTTGACTATCTAAAAAAAACTTATAAAAGTGACAAACTTCTAGCAATATTGATCAAAAGGGAAAAAGAGAAGGTACAGATAAACAAGGATAAGAGGATATAACTGAAAGTGCAACAGAGATTTCAAAAATACAAAGATAAAAACTTTATGCAAATAAATTTGAAAAGTGATGTGAAATAGAAAAATTCCTAGGAAATCATAATTAAACAAAACTGTCAAGAAGAAATAGCAAACTGGAATGATTCTACAACTATTTAAAAGATTGTATCCGTTAAAATTTTTCTTACAAAGGCCCAAATGGTTTTACTTGGAAGTTGTGCCAAATATTTAAAGAACAAATAGTTCCTTGGACAACCTCTACCAGAAAATAGAACGAAAGGAAATAGTTCCCACTTCATTCTATGACACCAAAATCAAACAGGGGACCATGAGAATGGAAAAAGTACAGGCCAATCTCATTCATGAACAAAATGCCGAATTCTTAAACAAAATATTAACAAACTAAGTCCAGCAGTTTTTATTTATTTTAGGACTGCAAGATAAGTTCAAAACAAGAAAAATCTCTAATGTAATTCACATTAACAGGTTAAAATACAAAATTAACCTTCATCTCAGTGGATACAGAAAACATGTTTATAAAATTCGACATCTACTCATTTTAAAAAAAAATTCCAATTGGTAGACTAAGAACAAACTGGAACGTCCCTAATCTGTTAAATGGTATCTACAAAAATATCACAGCAAACTTAATTGTGAAACTTTAAAAAGCATTCGCTTTAAAATTAAGTTCAACATAAAGATGTATAATATTAACATTTCTATTCAACATTGTACTGAATGAAAACAGTGTGCGTGTACTGCAGGTATGAAGTTCTAGCACTGCAGTAATGCAAGAAAAAGAGATTAAAAAATAAGAATCAGAAGGGGAAAAAGAAAACTGTCATTTCCATATAAATTATCAAAATTAATAGGAAAGTTTAGCAGGTTTGCTAGTTACAAAAACATTATACAAAAAACACAATTATATTTGTATACATTAGCAATAAATTGGTATAAAATGTAATATTCTAAAAAGATATATGCAAAATAAGCAAAAAATAAGCAAAAAATGTCTTACAATGATGTGCAAGCCCTTTTAAATTATAAAACTTCACTCAAGTAACATGAATACAGTTTAAATAGATTGAGAGACATACCATGTTTACGGAAGACTCAATATCACAAAGATGTTAACTCTCCTTAAGTTGATCTACAGATTGATTATAATTCCAATCAAAGTCCCAAAAGTTTTGTCTGTATATATGCATGTTTGTGTGTGTAACTTGGAAAACTGATTCCAAAACTTATGGGGACATAAATTTTCATAGCATTATTGCTCATAACCTCGACCTAGAAACTACCTAAATGTTCATCAACAGTATGATGGATAATAAACCATGGGATATTAATAAAGTATTACACAGCAAGGAGAATAAACAAGCTACAACTGCATGCAACAATAATATAAGTGGCAATACAAAACATAACGTTGAATGAGAAAAATAAGTCACAGATGAATATACACAGCTATTCAAGCACTTTACACAAGCTAATGCATTTAATCCTCAGAACAACACCATTAAATGATTGTGTGCCTCCCCTCCTCCACTGCCCCCTTTGGGGTCAGGCAGGTCTTCTAGAGAGGATGCTCCAAGTAAAACAGGATTCAGGTCTTTCTGGGGTAAATAGCCTGGTCTCCCCAGCAATGGAGCTGAGGCAGATATTGTCCAAGGCACTAAGTTTATTGTGTCTATGGGCTAACATAATACAGTCAATCACTAATGAGTTACTCCCTTGTACACACAGAGCCCCAAGCTTGGCTATGGTGAATGGTAGACTGGGAGTAAAAGTGACCATGTACTGAGTGTCTGCTATGTGCCAGGCTCCAGGCTTGATGCTGGAGATATGATGGGTAAAAAGACCACACACCCACCTTCTCGTTTAAACAATAATAATAGCAACAACAACTAACATTTATTGAGTACTCACTATGCGGTGAACTCTCTCTAAGCATTTTATTTGCTTTAGCTCTCTAATCTTCACAACAATACTATTATTAACTTCTTTTTACAGATGAGGAAAAGGAAGCACAGATAAATTAAGAGACTTGTTCAAGGTCACAGAGGCGGGAAGTGGCAGAGCTGAGACTCAAACCTAGGCAGTCTGAATCATCCCAACAACATGGGGAGGTAGGTATAAATTCTTGTCTTATAGCTGAGGAAAGAAAGGCTCAGAACTAAAGTTAGCACATATTACTTTGCACCCTCTATGTGACAGAGACTATATTAGATGATTTATGGATATTATTTCTCCAAACTGGAAGACAGAGTTCCCAGGAATATTAGGGTCCTAACTATGGGAGATCCAGGTATGCAGAGAGTGGCTTGCCTGCTTGCCAGCTAAATCCAACAGCCCCTTGGAAAGGATCAGGGGTGCCTTGGTGGGTGGGGGTGGGACGTAATTCTCAGTCTCATCTAAGCTCCTAGATCTCCAGATAAGTGATTGAAACTGCTGGTGGAGAGGAGGAGGAAGGAAAAGGAAGCTGGTTTTTCCCCTCTTCCTTCATCCACAGCCTTCATTCTATGCAGAATATTTAACATCTTACATCTTCCTGGTTCTTCTAAACAACCAACTCATTAGCCCTGGGCCTGGACCTCCTCTAGTGGAAGCTTGGTCAGCTGGTCCTTGAGATGTCTGGGTCCCACAGTCCACAGCTGTCTTATCTCCACCCACCTTATGGCTCCTCAGGCCAAAATCCTTGGGCTAAAAGCATCTTGGTCCACAACTGTCCTTTATTATCTATGGGACATGGTATAATCCACTTAAAATCTATATTTACAGGTTTTGCTTGCTTCTGCTTTGAACCTGCTCCTTCATAAATTTTCAAAGTGAACGTTACACCAGCAGGCTGTTCCCGAGAGACTGAGTGTCTTCTCCCTCAAATCCCCAGAGCAGCAAGTATCCATATGTGCCAAGAAGGCAATGCAGGAGACAGGACACCCAGCCTTTCCCAACCCAGTAGGCAGTTTATTAGAAGACGCTTGAGAAAGGGGAGAAGCAAAACCGACCAATGATATGGTACTTTTATGTACCCAGCACCTGTCCCCTGAGAATCAGTGCCAGGAACCATCATCTTATTTCACCCAAGCACTATCTGACAGGACCAATTTCCAGACACTTCACTGAAGTCACCCAAATAAAACATTTTAAGCTAACATTGAACAGTTCTGAACTAGAAACACCAAATTTCAAACAGGAAGCATTCCAAATAAGCTCTGGATAAGAAAGAAAAAAAAATCCTAGTCAAAAATCCCTCTGATTAAGATGGTCTTTACATATCCTCATTTTTTTCTGTCTTCATCTCTCTCTTACTGTCTTTCTTTCTCTCATTCTTTCTCTACCTTTTCTGACATTAAGCCTCTTGTTATCCTACAGCTATTTCATCTAACTGCTTATCTATTCCAACTTTCAGGTCGGAATTGGAATAGGAGTGGATGGGGGGGCTTGTCTTCTATACCCATTCTACCACCACCGCCTTGAAACCCAAGGAAGCAAACCCCACTTACAGCCCCTCCTCCGTCGCAGCCCGCTGTTGCCGCTGCTGTGTGGAATCCAGATCTTCTGCAACCTGGTTTGGGTGAGCTCTCCCATCTCTCGAGACATCTTAGGCGTCGTAGCTAATGACACCACTGTCCAGAAGGTACTGGGCCTCACTTCCTGTCTTATTAGCTGTCTTTTCTGTTGCTGAGACTATAGCAGAAGGTGGACAGAGTTGGAACAGGGAGGTGCGCTGGGGCTCTGAGCCTTCTGGCAGCCTGTCTCCAGCCTCTCTCCTCTTTCCTAGTCCTTGCCTGCTTTGTCTGCCTCTGCTCCTGTATGTACCAGTGGGGGCTTGGATGCAGAGAAGGAGACGTTGGGCAGAGATCAGCAGAGGTCTCTGAACTCCAAGGGCTGTGTACATAGGAGATAAGTTGAAGCCCAGCAAGGAAGGCAGCCAGCAAGACAGCTCAGGTCTGGCCAGTCACTTCCCTCCAATGAAGACAGGACTAGTAGAGTATGCAAATAAAAGACCAAAGATCATGTGCTTATATCCTGCACGGGGTGGGGAGGCGAAGGTGATGGAGGCAGATCTCAGCAGCTTTCACAGCTTTGAAATAAAAAACGGGCCCAAGTAGAATGTCAAGTTCCAAATCAGAAACAGAGATCCAAATCAGAAATGCAAATTTCCCAAGTACAAATACACAAACACAAAGTCCCTACTGAAAAACAGAATGCTTTGAGCTAGCAATCAAAGGCCTGAACTGGAATTAGAAAGTTCGCTGCCTCACTGTCCACCCACCCCCACCCAAATTGGCATTGCAACCCTTGTGTTCCCCAGAATTCTGCTACCTTTCCTACCAAAGGGTCTCTCTCTCCCTTAAAATGTGCTGCCCCGGGCACTCCTGGAGAGATGGGCACTATCTGATCATCTTTATGCTCTCTCCAGCCAAGTCTAAATAAATCAGAGTAAACCTGACACCTTGGGAAGAGGAGTGAATGCAGACATTGCTAGGGGAAGAGATGGTAAGCACTGCCCATGTGACTGCCAGCTGCCATCAGGTGCTCTAGGGAAAAAGGGATCGTGATCTGACCCAGAACCCAGCTAAAGTTCTTCATGCCAAGCTATGTGGCTTAGGGTGGAGGCTGTAGCAGGCAGAGTGTGGGGAGTAGGGAGCAATGGCCTCAAAGTAGGACAGGTCCATAGGCCAGAGCCATCGTACCCAAATGTCTCCCCTTTACCCTCTCCCCTCCCCCTGGTTGTTTTGAGACTTTTATGTACAGAACTCATCTAACAGCATAGCTTACCTGGAAGATGTCCAAGTGTGTTCTTATTTCATTCTTTTGCCACCTTCCCACCCCCGATGAACCTCCAGTGATTGGCTACCAGGAAGCTCAATTTCTTCCACTAAGATGGGCTATACAGGGGCAATCTCTTGGGGATAGAAATCTCTAATCCCTGCCCTCCAGTGCTCTCAGCTCCACTTTGTCTTTTAAGAAGTTCCCTAAAATACATTCTCAGCATCCTAGTCTACACAAGGGTTAGATTCCCTCCAGTTTTTGTGTTTAAATCATATCAAACTTTCAATATATTTCAGAGCCTGCCCTTCTAAATGAACCTACTGAGGCAGTAGATCACAGTGGTTCAAAGCAATGGGCTCTGGAGCCATACTACTGAGTGGAATTCCACCTCTGCCCTTTACTATGAGACCCTGGGCAGAAGACTTAACTTTTCAGTGCCTTGAGTTTTCCATCTCATAAGAGTACCTACTCCCTTAGGGTTGTTGATGATTCAGTGTGTTAACACATGTAAAGCAATCTGGGAAATATTCAATATATATTACCTGACACTGTGATTGTAAAAGATCAATCACCTCTTAGACTAATCTGCAGCTTCTAATGTAATGCTGAGCATTCAGGAAACACTCTGTAAAGGAAACTTACAATGTTATGACAAAAAGTTAATGTTTATAATAAATAAAGAGCTCATATAAATCAATTAAAAAGATTAATTCACTGTCACTCTTTTGTGAGACTGAAGCCCCCTAGAAATCATTTTTTCCAACCCTCTCAGGTAAGAAAATGGAGGCCTAGAGAGGGGAATTATTTTCCTAAGGTCCTATAGCAAATTAAGTCACCAAGTCAGGAGTAGAACAATGGGGACCTGATTTTTCCCGGTCTAGGTTCTTTTTTCCCTTTGATTAATTGATCAATCTAGCTTTATTTAAGGATGTGGTCTTCCAGATTAGCTTAGAACATTTAGAGTCTTAGAACTAGACTTTGGAAGATACAACTCTCTTAATCCTAATAAGTCACCTAACTGGTATCACTCTGTTAACTCTAATAATCTTAATAATAACCCTTTACATGTATGTTTTCCCTGGCCCACAAAAAAACATATTATTTATCATAGTTGCTCCTTCTAAACATTCTCACTAGCCTCAGAAGCTGAGGTCTAGGGAGGGAAAGTGGCTTGTCCAAGGTAATCAATCCAGTCACATGAACCCCTCTTCTATGTTTACAATTTTGTCCTCATGACCCTGCCAAGAGGCAGGAAGATAATTTTAGCAGCAGGAAATCTGAGATAGGAGACTAGCGGGCTTTTGGCAAGATCCAAAAGGTAAACATGGGGTCCAGGCTTCAAAACCCAACTTAAAACTGCCCGGAACTAGGGGTGTGTATGTGTGTGTATGCGCGCGCACGCTTAAACCACTGTTATCAATTCTGATCCCAGAAGCAGGAGAATTAAACAGGCTTTACCAAAAGGCCTCAGCCCGGGCACTTCTCAGTCAAACCTACCTCTCCAGCCATGTCTTAGATCTCCATGGTTAAACTGTACCAGCTGACTCATTGGGCTCCCAAACTTACTGTGTACGTTTTTGCCTCTTGGCCTTTGCTCAGCCAGGAATACCTTCTTTTCCCTTCCATTCTCAATGAAATCTGATTCACTTCAAGGCCGGGCTCAATGCTTGCCTCCTCTGGGAAGCCTTCCCTGTATCCTTGGCTTTGGTTCTCACGTTGCCTATATGCTTCTGTCTATCTGAGCAAGTATCCACCAGTGTTTTACCAGTCTACTTTCCTAGTAGACTCTGGGCTCCTTAAGGATAGAGACTGGCTCTCAGTTATCTGTAATCTATGTTTCCAGGTGTCTAGCTCAGGCCCTGGCACAGAAGAGACATTTGTCCAATGAGTGTCTGTACAATGTACATCTCTCTGCCCTGGATGAGATGAACATGTGGACAAATAATCCCCTTTCAATAAATAAATGTTATAAAAAAAAAGAGCTATGCAGGGAACTGAGTGGGGGAACTAAATTGGTCTGAAGGTAGAATGTGGTATTAGGATCTAGAAGGTTTCTCCACCTGGAATGGGGCAGAACAGAATAAACAAAAGAATGAAGTCCACCCCACTGCCCTGCTCTCTGAAAGATGCACTTAACTGGTTACAGAAAATAAAGTTCACTCAGTATCAGAGGCTCACTTGAGACTAAGAACTAGCCACAAATTCTAGTATGGGGTTAACTCTATAGAGGAAAAGCATAAAGTGTGACTTCCTGAGGCCCACAGATCCTGATTATTTTCCCAAAGAATGGGGTGTACAGAAGAATCCCATTAAAAGCAGTATCAAGACAGTACTGATGGGCAACAAAATCACAAATGGGGTCTTCCTATTGGTAATTCTTGGAGTGTGTGGATTCTTGGTGTGAATACATTTGTTTGGAGTTAGGGTGAAAAGGAGAGATTGGCCACATGCTTATAGGTCAGGTGCCCATATGAGAATATCAGGACCTCTATGGCAGCAGCCTAGGATCCACTTCCTTCTTAGCCACTGCCCTACCTCACCATCCTCCCACTACTTTCAGTTCCATGACTGGGGCCCAAGGATTACTCTATCCTAGTCCTAGGAGTAGATCTCCATAGACCATAGTCATTCAGGAAGAAGTATAGCTGGAGGGTTGTGGGTAGTATTGCCTGTGGAGGCTACAGAAAAAGTAGGATCACTAAGACAGAGCACAGAAGTCCTGAAGTATTTCCAAAGAGCTTTGGTTCCTGTCCTCCCACTCCTCTTCACCTTGCAACAGTCCTCTGAGGGAAATAAGCTAGAGACTTTAACTTCTATTTTAGTGAGGAGGATAGTGAAGCCCAGAGAAGCTAAACAGCTTGTTCAAAGGGCCACAGCATACCAGCCCTACTTTGTACACCAGTTAGGAGGTAAGAGATATAATCTCTATCATCCAGCTCATTCAAACCTGGACTAGTTCAAGTTAGAGAGAATTCTAAAGGTGCTAGGGAACTGCCCTTTGGGCCAGTGTCCCACAAAGACAGCTTAGAATGGACAGAAACTAGATAATTACATATAAAAATCATATTTTCCCCAACTTCCCATACCCTTTATTTTTAAAGAAAAAATTTCCATACCCTTTAATGCACACTTCAAGTGACCACCTATTCCAAGAAAACTTTCCAGAGAGCCTAAAGAATGGATTTAGGGTTGTGTTGGCTCCTATTTTTCCTTCTGTCCCACCTACCTGTTCTCCTAGAGGTTCTTTCTTCCATCGCTAATTATCCAATACACGGCTCTCTTGCATTTAGACCCCCAAAGCAGTTGCAGAGGATGGCATCAAACAGGGAGTCTGGAAGCGCTCGTTGGTTCCCTGGGAAGGCCGGAGAAGTACCCTTGGTAAGATGGGGTGTGTGCCCTCTGTTGAAATATCAGCTGCTGTAGTAGCCAAAGAAGTTCCTGAGTCACCCGGAGCCTTTTCTCTTCAGGCCAACCATGTGTTCACCTTGCCCCAAAGGTCAGAACTAATATTAACAAGCTACTGCAGAATGGGGAAATTAAAATCAGCAATGGAAGCAGGCAAGATCTGGATTTCCTTAGGGCTGTTTCAGATTGGTCTTCAGTGTAAATGGGCATGATCCCTTACTGGAAAGTGATTTGGTACTATGAAGCAAGAGCAATGAAAATTTTCATTTCCTTTGTCCTAATTATCCCACCCTTGGGACTCAATCCTGAGCCAATAACCACCAAAACACACACAAAAAGCTTAAAGCACCAACATTTTAATTTAAATTGCAGGGCTATTTGCTGATGGCAACAACTGGAATGTAACCTTTAAGTTCTCCAGGAGAAAAAGTAGCTCTTTGGGTCTTTCCTGCAGACATTGAGAATGATGGCTCTGAAGCTATGGAATTCTGGGGAAAAAAATAATTACGCTGCAATTCTGGGTGAGGAACCTAAGGTTGCAAAGTTATGCTTTACCCTGTACATCTGGCATGTCTATTATTTTTGTTTTTATGTTCTCAAAAACAAGTCACTAACCTGAATTTGTTCATTACTTCAACAAAAATTTATTAACTCCTAATATATACTGTGCCCTATATTAGGGGATGGGGCTAACAAGATGAATCAGATATGGCCATTGCTTTCAGGCTGCTGGTAGTATGGTAACAGAAGTAGAAATCAGTGGTAGTTGTACATTGTGATAAGTGCTGTGACAGAACGGACCACAACATACTGTGGGGATGCAGAGGACAAGATGTAACCGGGGAGGTGCGTGGGTGGTTAGGAAAACTTACCCAGGAGTTTGAGCTGATTAAGATAGGGGGTTGAATCCTGGCTCTACTACTTCTGTGAAATTGAGGTGGATTCACTGAAACTCTCTTACTTAGCTTCAGTGCCCCTATAGTGTTGTCCTGATAATGAAATGATACAATGCTTATGGAAGAACCATGCGTTATATCGGGGGATAGTGCTGCTCTGGAACTTGGGTAGCCTACTTAAATTCTCTGGACCTTGATTTTACTCATCTGAGAAATGGAGCCAAGAGAAAGTACCTGTCAGGCCAAGTCCTAAAGGATGCTACGGCCCTATAAAGGCCCAAGACAAATAATGGCTACAGGGTGCACTTGATACAGCCTCCCCTCCCCCTCCCTCAGCCCAATAAAGCCAGATGTCCTCTCTTAAGCCTTGCTTCGCTAGAGCGCTTCTAACTGCTCCCTTCTCTAGCCGCACTGTTCCCTTACAGCGCCACCCCTCCCACTGTTACGACAGCCACTCCCAGGGCGCTTGCGCCGCATTCCTCTGCGCAACTAGGGGTGCGGTCTGACCCTTAGGGGCGGGGCTTCGGTCGCTACTCGGTTCCGCTGCTTAGAAAGTGGTTAAATCCCATTTTAAGAAATCGAAAAAACACCGAGGGGACTTTTGAGTAGACCAGAAACGCAGTCAGAATCAGGTGCGTGGGCCACTATTCTGCGGGAGGAGGAGGAGCTCAGCTAAGGACCTTTCTCTCACCATTCATTCCTCCTCGGCGACCACACTGCCCCCTTCAGCTTCCGCTCCTCTGGCCAATGAAAACTGAGGGTCTTGAAGTCCCGCCCGCGTCCGTCAGACACTTTCGCGGCAAGCAGGAGCACGCCTGCGCAAATGCGCGCGCGGAAGGCCGGGACTGGCCAATTTGGGGGCAGTCCAGTTTTGCGCTCGCGCCCACGTTAGGCGCGGGCCAAGAGGCGCTGTAACTCGCTGTGAAGATGCTGCGTGTGGTGAGCTGGAACATCAATGGGATCCGGAGCCCCCTGCAAGGGGTGGGATACGAGGAGCCCAGCAACTGTACCGCCACGGCCGTGGGGCATATTTTAGACAAACTAGATGCCGACATCGTCTGTCTTCAGGAGACCAAAGTGACCAGTAAGAGCTCAAGAATTCAGGACCCCTACCATACTTTCCCTTTTCCACTAACTTTTCCCACTGCTCCATCTTATTTCACTTTCCCATTACTTTATCCTTAGAGGCCTCTCCTTAGAGCCAGTTCAGAATCCTGATCCCCTCCTCTCAATTTCTCACTCCAGCTAGATCTCCAAATTCCCATTTCGTCTCCTGGCCTCAGCAGAACCTTAATTTTCTCCCCTCCTTGCAGTCTCCATCTTCTTTCAGATCCTCTAATTCCCACTCATTCTCCTGCCCCAGCTCAGTCCCCCAATTTACTCTCCCTATACACTCCCACTGTCCATTTCCCACTTACAAGTCAGACCCCTCTAATTCCGCCTTTCTGCCCCCAGCTCATATACTTTAATTCCCACCTCATCATTACCCCAAGCGTAGACTCCCTAATTTCCCCCTTCTTATTTTTAAAGCTTTTTTGGGGGGAGGTAATTAAGTTTGTTTGTTTGTTTTAATGGAAGTACTAGGGATTGAACCCAGGACCTCGTGCATGCTAAGCACGCATTCTGCCACTAAGCTATACCCTCTCCCCTAATTTCCTCCTTTTAAAATTTCCGTCTCAGATTCCCAGTTCCCCTTGTTTCTACCTCCATTTCTCCTCCCCAGCTCAGCTTCTCATCATTCCTACCTCAGGTCCCACTCCAAGCTTAGACTCTCTAATTCCCTCTCCCTTGCCAGCTGAACCTCCTGATTCCTTCTCTCTCCCACTCCGGCTCTGAGACCCGTTACCTACTTTTCCCTCCATCCTCAGTTCAGATCCTCTAATTCCCTCTCTCTCCTACCTCCTTCTCCAACCTCAGATACCCAGTTCTCTCTCCTGTATCTCCATTTCCCACCCCCAGCTCCCTCCAGTCACCTGGTTGCCTAGCCTCTTAATCCTTCACCTCCCATTCTGTAGTCTTCTGCCTTCTTGTAATTCTGATATCAATTCCCTCTCTAGTCCCCACCTTTTTAGCTCCTCTTCTAATCATAGATACTTAATTTTTACTCCCTACTCTCGCTTTGATGTGTGCAAGTAATTAGCCTACAGCTATAATTCCAGGCCTTTGTGTGTCCTGGGTCCTAGTCCTGGTCCTATCATCTCTGACATAATTTTACAATCTGACATCTTTTTTTTTTCCAGGAGATGCTCTGACAGAGCCCCTGGCTATCATTGAGGGCTATAACTCCTATTTCAGCTTCAGCCGCAATCGCAGTGGCTATTCCGGTAAATGCGGTTTTCTGGGGACTTTAAATTAGTGATGGAGACATGTGGGAAAGGATTTTCAATATTTAAAGTAATAAGAAACGTAGGTTTTTAGCCCACAGCAGTAAGACCACATCAAATTATATGAGTGATAATTTTTATGTGTCATATTGGACCTCAGAAGCACAATAGTGTGGTGGTTAATTGTATGAGCTCTGGAACCAGACAGACTGCCTGGGTTTGAATCCTAGCTCAACTCCTAGCTGTGTACCCTCTGACCAGCGACTTAACCTCTTTATGCCTCAAGTTCCTCAGCTGGAAAATGGGGATAATGCCTACCTCTTAGGGCTATTACAAAGATTACACTGATTAATCCATGTGATGATAATAATAATAGCTAACACTTTCTGAGCACTTACTGTGTATCGACGTAAAACACTTAGAATATTAGCTGTTATTAATCTGTGGTTTTTCTAGATGAAGGAACTGAGACTGCAGGGTTGGAATAGAGTTGCCCCAGGCATCCATGGCTCTTGAGTTGAGAGAGTTGTCAGTAGAACCACACTCAATGAAGATGAGTCAGGTCACCTGTGCGGGGGCAACAGGCTGTTGGCTGCCAGGCCTGCTCAGAGTACCCTCTCTGTCTCCAGGTGTTGCCACCTTCTGTAAGGACAGTGCTACCCCAGTAGCTGCTGAAGAAGGCCTGAGTGGCCTACTTGCCACTCAGAATGGGGATGTGGGTTGCTACGGAAACATGGATGAGTTCACCCAAGAGGAGCTTCGGGCTCTGGATAGTGAGGGCCGGGCCCTCCTCACCCAGCACAAGATCCGGTAATAGCCTACTTCCTCCTTCCACCAGCGTTGCTGGTTTGACTCTGAATGTGGCGATTCTAAGGCTTGCCTTATAAACATGCACTCACCATGGAAAACTTCCCAGACTTGCCTTTCCTGGACTTTAGTCTGGGCTGGGCTACCTCCTCAGGACAAACCATGTTCTCCTCTGAGCCTTGAGTTCTCTGTCTCTACGAGGGTGGGGGTGGTGCTAGCTGGAAGGCACCACAGGCATCTCAAAAGCAAGTTAGCCAGTGTTGAACTTACTGCCCCAGGTTTTTCTCTTTCTGGGTGTCTTATGTTTGTGAATGACAGTACCATCACCTGGTTTACCTGAGTGTCATCCTTGATGCTTTATCTGTAGTCAGTCCCCAAGTCCTGTGAATGCCAGTTCATTCATGTTTCTCTATTCCTTTCCTTTATTTCCATTCCATGGACAACCATTAAGTGGCAATCACACAGTGTGGGGAAGGGAAGAGTGACTTGGAAATGACCTTTTTTTTTTGCGGTGCTGGTTCTCTTCTCCCCAGCACATGGGAAGGGAAGGAGAAGACCTTGACCCTAATCAACGTGTATTGCCCCCACGCGGACCCTGGGAAGCCTGAGCGGCTCACGTTTAAGATGCGCTTCTATCGCTTGCTGCAGATTCGAGCAGAGGCCCTCCTGGCGGCTGGCAGGTACTGCAAACCTGGGCAGCAAGGCTTCTTTGAGCTTGTCCTGGGTGCCCAGCCCCATTAGAAGGGTTGTGCGATCTTTGTCTTTTGAGTTCCTTCACAGCCTAGTTATAGACACCAGCATACCCACCAGATTAGGCCCTGCTCTCTAAGAGCTGTGAGGGACCAGGTCAAGTGACACAAATACAGATTTTGTATTCAGATACCTCTGAGCACCTGTCTTGGTTCCTTTCATTCACTATGAGCCCCAAGACTGGTCCTCCCTCTGTTTTCTCTTTTGTAAAATAAGTGTATGAATCCCTGCCTCACAGAATAGTTTTAAGGATGAAATGAGATGAGGAAGGTAAAGTGTCTGGGAACAAATGAAAGGTCTTGTCCCAGGGAGGGCTAGGAAAGTGAGGGTGGGTTAGACTATCAAAGAACACTTCCTAGAGGGAACGGTACCTGAGCTCATCTTTGAAGGACCAGAAATATGCTGTTAGGTAGAGATCAGTGACACTCATGTCAGAAAAGGAACAGTATCACCTTTGGAGATCAGACTTGGGTTGGTCAGGTATAAAAGGTATCAAGGTTTTAAGGAAGATTGGAGAGGTAGGCTACCATTAGTTGCTTTTGGCTCTTATTTTAGCCTCAGTGTGGAAGGTGGCCTATCTGATTTCTTGGACCCAGGAGAAAGTAGATGGGCCAGGACTGCTGCTTCCCTTTTTTGACATTCATTTTATGTTTTTCAGCCATGTTATCATTCTGGGTGACCTGAATACAGCCCACCGCCCCATTGACCACTGGGATGCCGCCAACCTGGTAAGGTTCCCTCTAGGCCTTTGACCATACTCCTGACTATGGTTCTGTTCAGCTAGCCAACCAATGTTGGTTTTTTTGGCCCAGGGGCAAGCTTTCTTCATGGAAAAGCAGAGCTTAGTTTGAAATTCTATTCTCAAAGCACTAAAGATTGTGCTGGGGACTCACTTACCAGTCAGTTCTGGCTCTTGGCCCCTCAGAGCTCTCAGCACGATAGTGAGATATGGACACATGACTGGCAAATTATAGAATGATGTTTTCAGGGATGAGGCCGAGATGACAACCCAGGAGGTTAGGAGAGCCTGGCAATGGGATTCCTGGGCCAGCCTGGACATCAGGGGAGACATCTGAAAATGGCTGAATCTTAAAGAGTAGTACAGAGCTTTGAGGTAGGGTGGGGAGCAAAACATTCTAGCGTGTTGAGCAAAGGCTGCATGGTGAGAATTTGCCTGGTGTGCACAGAGAACTGCAAATCTTGTTAGGGGTGACATAGGAAGGAAGTTGAGTAGCAGGAGATGGGGATGGAGAACCCTTTGAGGGTCAGATTTTGAGGGCCTTAAACTCCACATTGCCTTGATCATTTCCCCAATACACTGTTTCCTGTTTGCAAACCTTCAATACATCCCTGTCACCTTTGTGATGCAGAGGAAATGCCCAGTCCTGGCATTCAAGGATCTTTCTTGTCTGCCCATTCTCCATTTCCATCCTCAGTACCTCTACACACTGTCCACTTTAGCCAAGTCATCTCCTCTCTGCCCATTGAAAAAAGTTATTCTTATTTTAGCTTTTCTCACTGTCTTCTGAATTGGTAGGCATCCCCTCCCTTCTGTCTTTTTTTCTTATATGAACCTCTCATCTCAGAGTTCCTCTAGGACAATGGTTCTCAACCCCTGACAGCACATTAGAACAAGGAGCTTTTACAAAAATATCAGTATCTTGGTTCAACCCTAGACCAATTAAATCAGAATCTGTGGGGTTTGGGGCCAGGGTAGCAGTATGTTTTAAAAGCTCCCAGGCTGATTTTATTGTACATTCAGAGTTGAGAACGACTGCTATAGAATCTGTAAGTCAGTTCTCATCTTGGCTTGCCTCATGAGGGGAGGGATCAGTAATTTAGGCTGTCACGGTCCAACTCAGCACTAGGCTTGGCTCAAAGAAGAGGCTGTAGGAAGATTCCTTGATTAGTTTGCAGAAGAGCCACATGAACATAGATGTGGATGTGGCTCCCAGCTGGGAAAATGAGCAGAAATGAGATATTGAGAGAATCACGGTGGTGGTGTGGTGGGAAGGGAGTGGACATTACAAAGTGTGAGCCTTTAGTCCTCCCTACCTTATTCCTCATCGGGTGTTTACTCAGTCTGTTCTTGCTGCTTCCTATGATACTGTCAGGTACCTTTATGCCTTCTCTTCTTAGATCAGAAATGTCTTAATGCCTCAAGTGAATCTCCTGCATTCTTTTTTCCAGGAAAAGAGAACTAATGGTACCAGATCACATGACAAACACAATCTTTCCAAAGTAGCAGAATATGTCCACTCCCCACAAGACTGGCTCTTCTAGTCTCATCTCCCTAAATAGCACCATCACCCCCTTGGTTGGTGTTAGTATTCTCTGTCTTCTCTACCCTCCCCCTTCCCCATTCAATTGATCAGTGACTATTGTTGATTCTAGCTCCAAATCAGCTCTTAATTTCATTTTGTCTCCTCTGGCACCAGCCTAGTCTTAAGTGACCATCATCTCTTGCTCGTATGGACTGTGATAGTCCTCTCCTGCTGGTGTTCTGGCCCACAGTGTGGTTGCCCCTAAAGTCTTTTGCATGCACTGCCCCCCTCCCTCCACAGGCCCATCACAGAAATTGTTCTTTCAATTTATAATACCCTCTGCCTGGGTTACACCTACTCAGCCTTCACGTCTCAGCTCCAGATCACTTCCTGAAAGGAAGTCTTCTTGGACCCCAGGACAAGATCAGGGTCGTGCCTTGTTCCTAGCATTATGCCTGGCACATAATCAGTGTTCTTTAAACATTTGTGGCATTGAATGAGTGGGTAAGTGGATTGGATAGATGATGAATTAGGGATCAGAGCTAAAGGAAATATTCAGACTTGAATCCCTGGAGCCCCTCAGCTCAGGAAGGGGAAGTGGTCAGTGAGGGCTTTGACAAACACAGGATAAGCCAAATAGTACCAGAGGGTTTAAAGGAAAAAGCAATAGTCTTCTTAACTCCTAACCTAGCCCTGCTTCCTGGAGCTGACTACTTTTAACTTCCTATTTTCCATTCTTTTGGTGAGCAGTTCTGATAATTGCTTTGATTAAGCAAACAACAAGCTTTCAGGTTTGGGGTTTATGGCCCAGTGCAAGGTAAATGTAGCCTGATGCAGAAGGGAAAACAAGCATGGGATTTTAAATCAGTAAGGATGGAAAATGAATCCCAGCTCTGCCAGTTCTGGGCTTTGTGACCTTAAGCAGTATTCTTTAGAACAACCACATTTTCTTATCTGTAAAATGAAGCAGTTAGTCAAGGTCCCTTCCAGTTCTAGGCCTTTAGTTCTGCCTCTCTTTTTGTCCCCCTCCTCCTTTCTCAGGAATGCTTTGAAGAGGACCCAGGGCGCAAGTGGATGGACGGCTTGCTTAGTAACCTGGGGTGCCAGGCTGGTTCCTATACGGGATCCTTCATTGATAGCTACCGCTGCTTCCAGCCAAAGCAGAAGGGGGCCTTCACCTGCTGGTCAACGGTCAGTGGCGCCCGCCATCTGAACTATGGCTCCCGGCTTGACTATGTGCTGGGGGACAGGACCCTGGTCATAGACACCTTTCAGGCTTCCTTCTTGCTGCCTGAGGTGATGGGCTCTGACCATTGCCCTGTGGGTGCAGTCTTAAGTGTGTCCTCTGTGCCGGCAAAACAGTGCCCACCTCTGTGCACCCGCTTCCTCCCCGAGTTTGCAGGCACCCAGCTCAAGATCCTTCGTTTCCTAGTTCATCTCGAGCAAGATCCTGAGTTCAAGCAGTCAGCGCTGCAGCTCACCAATCAGACACAGGCGCAGGTGCGCCAAAACAAAGCCCGCGTGCGCTCAGCCAGGTCTCGGTCAAGTCAAGCTGGCACCACTAGAGGCCAAAAGAAATTGATGAGCTACTTCCAGCCATCCTCCACCCATCCCCAAGCTTCTTCTAACTTGGAGCTTCCTAGCCTGGGTGCCCTTGTGACCCCAAGGACCTCAGAAGAGGAGGTGATGGCCAATGTGGTGGAGGGGCAGCCCAAGGCTTCAGAGGCCAAGGTTGCAAAGGAGGTACAGACCTCGTTCTGGAAATCTCTCCTTGGGGGGCCCTCGCCCATGCCCCTCTGTGAGGGCCACAGGGAGCCGTGTGTAATGCGAACTGTGAAGAAGCCAGGACCCAACCGGGGTCGTCACTTCTACATGTGTGCCAGGCCCCAGGGTCCTCCCTCTGACCCCTCCTCCCGCTGCAACTTCTTCCTCTGGAGTAGGCCCTGCTGAACTAACCCAGGCCTAGGGATGCCTGGCATGGTCAACCTAGTACATGATCTGAGGCCAGCTTCCTCCTAAGCTGCCTCCTCCTTTCCCTTCTCTGCCTCCTCCTTGACCTTCCTCAAGGACCCTTCTCTTTCCTCTTTTTCTTCTTCCTCTAAGACCTCCCTTCCTCTCTCTTCTTCCTGCCTAGCTCCTCCTCATTGGTGAGCTTCTTGTGCCTTAATGCTGTGACCCAGTCCCCCACCCCACTCCCCACCTTCCTATCAGAAGTACACAGGAACCAGTTGCCCCAGGAAGTAGTGATTTTAAACCTCTTCCTTCCCTGCTGGGAAATATATCTGTGCCTAAATAAAGTCTATGTCTTTGTTTCAGTGCACCATGTCATGTGGACATTTTGGATATACTCTGTGAAGCTGAGTCAGAGATGTTATCTCAGTACTGGGTTTGCCAACTGCTTGTAGCCTGATGATAGAACTCTTAGGGAGAGGCAAGGAAAGAGGAGTGGTGCTCACCATAGAGGCACTCTGTTGAGTTGTCAGGGTTCCCTGCACTACTGAGGTTGGATCAGCAAGGGAAGTGAGTGTGGTGTGGCAGAAAGCTCAAGTGGGCCGTGTAGCTTTAAACTAATGCTGGTGGGTCTCACAGCTGCCACAAATGGATAACATGGTAGAGAGAAATGGGTTCCTTAACCCTAGAGTCGCCAGGCAGGACCAGGAATTGCAGAAGTGTCAGGAAAGATCGCCTCCTAGCTAAGTAATATCATTAATTCACCCAAGTGTGCCATGCAAATGTTTGCTGTGTGCTATGACTTGGAAAAGTGCATTGAACAAATTGCTTGCTATTGCTATAGGCAACCTTTCTCACCTTGGGAAGAAGGACTGTTTAAGTCCTATACTATAAGGTGCTATAGGAAGGAAAGAGACAGTAATGGGTTGAGGAGGACATCCATTCTCTCTGCTGGAAAATACCTCCGAGGGTTTGGGGAACCATGGTTGGTTTGTGGTGATGACATCTGGCTTCAGGGGCTACCTGGGGCTTAGGTTGCAAGGCCTACCAGTGAAGAGTCAATCCTTGAATTTTTGTTGAAACCATGGGGAAAGAACCATTTCATACAAACCTGCCAAGTGTCCTGGCTTTGTGTGCAACTCACTGTAGTTTTCGGCCATCTTCCTCTTTCTGGATCTCAGTTTCCCTGTCAGTAAAATGGGATGGTCAGACGAACAGGTGATCTGTGGTTTCCTCGTGGTTCTGTCACTTGTTTGAGGGAGTTAGGTATAATGCAGTTGTATGCTTTCTGTCAAACAAAGGGCTACAAATACTGCATTTTGCTCTTTATTTTAAGACCTAAGTCAGCTAGAGGCACACAACAAAGCAGAGGACAGGAGAAGGCCCAACCCCAAGTGAAGTGCAGGTGGGGTGGGGATCTAATGCGGCTGATTTCTTAGGCATAGGTGGTGACGTACTGAGGCCCCATGTTCCCGAAGTAGGAACGTTCCCACTCGCTCATGAGCTCGAAGTGC